CGATGCCTGGGCTCCCAGGGAGGCACCCTTCTCTGAGAAAGTCAGGGTGAAGAATGGCCCTGACTGCGGCCGTAGCTCACACTTACTGCGCTCTTACTGTGATACAGTAAGGCACTGTTTTCAAGGTTTCCCTCGGATAGATGCATCCAGTTCTCACACCACCAAGCCTCCCAGACAGAGACAGGGACGGGCCCCGGGAGGAAGTGCTCACGTCGGCAAGCAGACAGACACCCACGCTGCCCGGACCACGGGCCGTTCCTGGGAACCCGAACCAGGAGGCTCCCCGCTGGCGCTTGTTCAGCCTGCAGCTTTCTTACTGGCCACTGTCTCCTCCCACAGGATGGAAGCCAGCAGCCCACACGCACGTGTGTCCCCCAGTGATGTCAAAGCCGGTGGCCCTGGGCTTCCTCACCACCTGGAGGCCGGCTGTGTTTCCACAGACCCCTCGGCACTTCAGGGGACATTCGGCCTTTGTCCCCGAGACCCCATGCCACAGCAAGACTGGCCTGGGGCAAGCGTGCTACCCACAGAGAGCAGCCGGTCGTGGGGGCAGGGGGCCTCGTCCAGCTGGCATCCTGCTGGAGTGTCTGGGAAGCAGCTCTGGGGTCTGCGGTGTCTGGCAAGACACCAGGAGGATGGACGGAGTTTGTTACCTGCCTGCCAGTGGCTGGCATGTTCGGGAACGCCTTGGGAATCCCCACAGCAGGGGCCACTACAGAACAGACTCCTGTTCGGTGCTGCGGGGAACACAGGAAAGGCATCGGCCATGTGACTTGTTCTGCTGACGACGACTGAGTCCCGGAGGAGGCACGGCCTGGCTGTGAGGAGCGCAGACCTTGGAGTCAGGCAGGCGGCGGCCACGTCTCAGCTGCTGGACTCACTGGCTGGTGACCGGGGCAAGTCACGTAGCCCTCCCCACACTGAGAAAGGGGCACAGAAGATGCCCTTTCTCAAAAACTGCTTCGAGAACTAAGTCCCTCACTGAGTTCACCCAACGGCAACTGTTGCTGTCGTTTTTACTATTATTATAACAACCTTTGAACAAAGAGGAAAAAACAAGGCATCATAGCTTCCCCATCTATACACGGAGGGAGGGGACCCTGGCTGTGGCTCACACCTGGGCCTGAACTTCACAATGAACGATCTCCATGTCAGGAAGCTGCAAACCAAGGAAGTAAGATGGGAAGAACAGTCCTTTTCTATCAAGGAGCAGAGAAGCTCCAGCCAAGTACGAAAAAGGCATTAAAAGCTAGTAGAGGCATCACTTCATGGCAAACAGAAGGGGGAGAAGTAGAAGCAGTGACAGATTTTATTTCCATGGGATCCAAAATCACAGCAGACGGTGACTGCAGCCATGAAATTAAAAGACACTTGCTCCTTGGAAGGAAAGCTATGACCAACCTAGACAGTGTATTAAAAAGCAGAGACATCACTTTGCCCACAAAGGTCCATATAGTCAGAGCTGTGGTTTCCTCCAGTGGTCATGTATGGATGTGAGAGTTGGACCATAAAGAAGGATGAGCACCAAAGAATTGATACTTTCAAACTGCGGTGCTGGAAAAGACTCTCTAGAGTCCCTTGGACTGCAACAAGATCAAACCGGTCAATCCTAAAGGAAATCAATGCTGAATATTCATTGGAAAGACTGATGCTGAAGCTCCAATAGGTCAGCCACCTGATGAGAAGAGCCTACTCAATGGAAAAGACCCTGATGCTGGGAAAGATTGAAAGCAGGAGGAGAAGCGGGCGACAGGGGATGAGATGGCTGGACAGCATCACTGACTCAATGGACGTGAATTTGAGCAAACTCCGGGAGGTAGTGAAGGACAAGGAAGCCTGGTGTGCTGCGGTCCACGAGGTTGCAAAGAGTCAGACATGACTGAGCGACTGACAGCAACAACAGAAAGAGTACCTAGGTGGTTCTGCCCCCCGTGCAGACTCCAGAAACCAGCCTTCACCCCAGACACCAGCAGGAAACCAAGCAGAGGGGAGCACGTGGCGACGGGGCGGAGGGCTGCTACCAGGCCAAGCTGCACAAGCCCCACAAGGTATCCGCGGCCCCATTTCACGGGTGAGAAAATCAAGGCTCAGGCAGGGCAGGCGACACGCCTGAAGCAGGTGGCTAGGAAGAGTCAGGTTCCGTGCAACCGGGAGGCCCGGGCGCTGGGCCACACGGCTTCACACTAGTCATCTGTTCCCCTATGCCGAGCCTGGGGCCTGGCAGAGGCAGGTCTCGGTAACGGTTTGGTGGGTGAATAAAGGAACACAGGAAATGCAACGTGGCCGCCCCTGAGGCTGCACACGTCTCTCCAGAGAACAAGCCTCCAGAGAACGCTCCCTCGGGGCCTGGGAGCGTGTGCGTCCACCGGTGCCTTGTGCGTGGAGGACGGCCATGCCCAGCACGTGGCTGATGCCATGCACAAGCTCTGGCCCCGGGCTTGGGGGGCACACACTCAACTCAGGTGCAGCCACTGCAGCCGGAAGGCACCACGCCACTCCCCCCCCATGACCACCGCCACCTTCCCCTTACGCAGTGGGAATAGCCAGACACTCTAAGGCCAGACCAATGAATTCTTCAAGAGCCGTAACGACCTTTAAACTCGTTACGCTTTGCTTTTGAGGACCAATGACCAATCCCACTCAACAGCCTCTGCACAGACACACACACACACACAGTCCAGGGGACCCAGGCTGCCTCCAAGTCCGTGACCCTGTGTGGTTGCCCTACCTCTGGGCTTATCACTAGGCGGATTTTCCACACGTCATCACAATGCAGAGGAAATTCACAAAAGAGGAAGGAAGAAAACCCACCGGGTCCCGGGTGGTGGGAAGAGCCGAGCGCTGACCCCGTTGACTGTGCGTCTGACGCAAGCCAGCCCAGCGAGGGCTCCCAGACCCACTGGGAGGGCCTTGGGCCCCTCCGTGAAGCAGCGGCACCGTCTCCTGTCACGGCTGGGGAAACTGAGGCTCACGGGGTATGAAAACTTGCGCGACCTCACAGAGCTGAGCTGGGTTTGCCATCAAGTCTGTCTGCCTCCCTGAGAGCCCCTCTTTCCTGATGCCCTGAGCTGCCCTGGACTCACGAGCTCGCCAGGCAAAGCGCGATCCCACGTTCCACAGAGCCCAGCCAGGTAACACTTGCTCACGCGTACACCCGGAGCCCCAGGGCCCAGTCCAAACTCCTCGAGAAAGACCCACTTGTGCAGCCCTCACACCGTTCGACTGTGCAGCGGCAGTCCCGTCCGTGCTTCTGAACCGGAGCTGTGTAAATATTAGCACAACCAGCTCAGAGTCCGACTTCCCTGAGCGAAGGCCCGAGGACAGTGGCGGGGTGGGCAGGGACCCTGTGCAGGCCGCCAGCAGAACACGTGGGTTTTACTCTGGGCTTGCCCTGGAAGACTCTGGTCAGGACCCCGGCCCCCCCGCCTCACTGTGTCCATGCAGAAAGGGAGGGCGGGCGAGGCTTAGACCACGGAGCGCCCAGGGCAGGTTCCCCGAGTGCTGCTGGCCGGGGGCGGGGGTGTGTGCGGCCATTCCAGGGCGGGTGGTCTTGGACCTGTTACACACTGGGGGTGTCCCGAGGCCTCTGGAGCCTGCTGGGTCCCCTCTGGGCCACTGGGAAGGATTCTGGGTCGGGGACAAGCTGGCTAAGCCTCCCCAGGCCAGGGCAGAGCTGACCCTCTCCCACCCTCCCCCCAGGCACTCAGCAGCAAATGGGCCCCACCTGCACGGAGGCCCGAGGAGCAGCTGCTCGTCACCAGCTCTAACCACAAACGGGCCCCAGCGGGCCTCCCTGCAGCTGGAAGATTCAGACCGGGCTGTGGGGAGGGCCTGCCGGTGAGAAGGGACGCAGGACTGGGAAACATGCAGAAGAGGTGGCATGGACATCCCAGCAGGAAGGGTGAGACTGAACAAGTCTTCACGGACAGGCAGACCCCTCAGGACAATGGCTCTGAGCTGCGCTCATGGCTGTGTCCACTGGCCTGTGGTCCCACAAGGAGAGGAATGCACGCAAGTGCGGGGCAGACAGCTGTGTGCGGCAGCGGCACGTGTAGGATGTGGATATCACGGACCCCCTCCACCCCCTTTTCGGACTGCTGCCACTGACTCCAGACAGCTGGCCCTGCAGCTGCAGCCGGCCTGGCCTCCGCCCCAGACGCAAGGAGTGATGGGCCCTTGGGAGCCGCACCCCCCACAACCCCACGTGGAGCCTCCAGCCCCGGGACTGGCGGTGGGGGCACACGCGGGGGGCGGAAGGGGACATATGTGCATTCTCAGTGCAACTGCCAGACAGGAGCTGCAGAATTTCTGAACTCAGAGATCAGACGGCTGCAGGTGGGTCCCCCCTCCCAGGAGGCCTGACACAAGCCAGGACCGTTTGTCAACAAATCCCCTCTGCCCCCCAGCCCTGCTCCTCGAGGGGCCTGCAGACAGCTCAGGGGCAGCTGTGCTGGCGGGCAGTGCAAGGAAATCAATATTCCCAGCACACACACACACTCTCCCCCTCTCTCCGTAAACACAGGCCCGCAGATGCTCAGCCAGCCACCCACCCACAGGCCCTGGGAGCAGATCAGGGATGGTCTCTGGGACTCACACTCATCCCCTCTGACTCCATCCCTGACCACACCAGACACACGTCGATAGACAGCCCCAACCCCGGGGCTCAGTCAGGGCCACGCAGAACCCCACCTCCGGGCTCCAGCCCACCCAGCGCACGCCCAGGTGCCCCAGCGCACCTGCGCAGCCCCGCGCGCTCTCCCCCCGGGGTCCGCCCGACACAGGCCCCGGTCCGGCTGCAACAGGCCTGCAGCCAGGCAAGGGAGAGACGCCCGCTGGCCGCGCTCCCCCCGCCAGCACCGGACATCCACTCCCAGCGGTCCCCCACGGCACTCGCCCGCGCGGGCTCCCGTCCGACAGTCATGGGGGCGCAGGAGCTCACCCCGCCCCGCGTTCCCGGGGGCCCCGCATGCTCGCTCACACCCTCCCGGCCCGGTCCTCACCCGCTGTCAAGCTCCAGCTCCAGCAGGGACTGCGTCCGCTCCGAGTTGCAGTGCAGGCACCACATGGCGGCCGCGGCAGGAGCTGGCGGGGCCGGGCGCGCGGGACCCGGGCCGACACCCGACCGCCCGCGCCCGTCCCTCTCTCGGGGGGCGGGGCCGAGGAGACGGGCCGAGGGGCGGGACCCGCTCTCAGGGGGCGGGGCCTAAGGGCGGGGCGAGGCCAAATGGGGCGTGGAGTGGGCGGGGCCTGCGCAGGGGCGGGATTCGCCCGCGGCAGCATCCCCCACCCTAGCCATAAGCCCTCCCCTGGGAAGACTGCTCACGGGCTCCAAGACGGAGCCCCCTAGCAGACATATGTCCCTCCCGAGCGTGTGAGCACAACAGATACAAAATCCCAAAACCAGCCAACTGGAGCCTACTCTGCCAGCGGCGCCAAGCCCTGCCAATCCTGACTCTGGCCTCGGTTTATAAAACGGGGCTCACGCTTTCCCGGATGGTGTGGCTCTGGGCTCTAACGCCCCTGCCCCAGAGACAGGGGAGGGCCCCCCGCCCCCCCGCCCCGAGTCTGAGGACACCCTTTCGGGGGCTTTCTGGTCAGGATCTGATGGAAGCAGCTTCTTTCTCCCTAAGCCCTCAAGACCCTCTGCCCTCCCCCCACCCATAGAACAAGGTCCAGACCCCCAGGCAAGCTTAAAGTGATACTAACTAGCAGTTTAGAGGTTTTTACTGATATTTGGTCCTCAGTACAACACTGTGATGCAGTTACTACCGGTCCCACTTGCCAAAAGGGAAAACTGGGGATCAGTTTAATTGGGTTAATGAAGAGGCTTTCCTTCCCCCTCGTGGCTCTCGATGAGCAGTCGTGGCATGTTCTCAGTTGGCACACTTAGGCACCATGGGCGCCTTGGAGGCAGGCACAGTGCGTGCCACCCGCACTTTCGGAATGCTCAGATGTAGTTGGGAGACTCCTCAAGCAGACAGACAGGATCAGAACCCACCTTTCCCAGGCCGCCCCACCCTCAGGTCCATCTCCTGGAGGGCCAGGCAGCTGGCAGGTCTGCAGGGGGCGGAAGCTGTGGGAAGCCACGCACGCAGGGGCTTCTTCACGTGCCCTTTCGGATCTTTCATTTGCAGGGGGGCCAATGAGGAGCGTTATCCCCAGATGGGGACCTGGGGTGGGTGGGGAACAGTGAAGCAGGAGGACTGGGCTGGCTCAGCCTGCATCTCGGCAGGGGGCAGGCCCCAGGGCCAGTTCAGTGCCCGGGCTCCCGGGCAAGGGGCTGGGCAGCGATGCACAGCCCGTCTCCCCACCCGTCCTCTTCACTTCTGATGTTTCTTCTGATTCATTAAGAATAAATGAAGACAGAATGGGAGAAACTGTTTTCAAATTATGCATCTAATAAGGTCTAGTATGTGAAAAAGTTGGCTTGAAACTCAACATTCAAAAAACTAACATCATGGCATCCAATCCCATCACTTCATGGCAAATAGAAGGGGGAAAGGTGGAAGCAGTGACAGATTTTATTTTCTTGAGCTTCAAAATCACTGCAGACTGTGACTGCAGCCATGAAGTTAAAAGACACTTGCTCCTTGGAAGAAAAGCTATGACAAACCTAGACAGCACATTAAAAAGCCGAGACATCACTTTGCTGACAAAGGTCCATATAGTCGGAGCTATGGCTTTTCCAGTAGTCATGTATAGATGTGAGAGTTGGACCATAAAGAAGGCTGAGTGGTGAAGAATTATGATTTCCAACTGTAGTGCTGGAGAAGACTCTTGAGAGTCCCTTGGACAGTAAGATTAAACCAGTTAATCCTAAAGGAAATCAACCCTGAATATTCACTGGAAGGACTGATGCTGAAGCTGAAGCTTCAATAATTTGGCCACCTGATGCTAAGAGCTGACTCACTGGAAAGGACCCTGATGCTGGGAAAGATTGAGGGCAGAAGGAAAAGAGGGCGGCAGAGGATGAGATGGTTGGATGGCGTCACCGACTCAATGGACAATGAATTCATTTGTTCAGTGAATTTGAGCAAACTCAGGGAGAGATAGTGGAGGACAGAGGAGCCTGGCGGACTGCAGTCCACGGGGTCACAAAGAGTTGGACACGACTTAGTGACTGAACAACATCAACAACAATCCATATTAGATAAAGGATGCTTACAACTCAACAGTAAAATGGCAAATAACCCAATTAAAAAAATGGGCAAAGGGGACTTCCCTGGTGGTGCAGTGGATAAGAATCCGCCTGCCAATACAGGAGACACAGGTTCAGTCCCTGGTCAGGGAAGAGTTCACACGCCTCATGGCAACCAAGCCCGGGCACCACAGCTACTGAGCCTGTGCTCTAAAGCCTGCAAGCTGCAGCCCCCGAGTCTATGTGCGGAGAGCCTGTGCTCCGCAACGAGCTGCCGCCTCAATGAGGAGTGTGCACGCCACAACGAAGAGGAGCCCCCCCATCAGCCGTGAGAACCCAGGGCAGCCAAATAATAAATAGTTGTTAAAGATGGGCAAAGGATCCAAGCAGGTATTTGTCCAGAGAAGATATATGAATGGCCGACAAGCACATGAAAAGAGGCTCAGCATCACTAATCATTAGGGGAATGTGAATCAAAACCACAATGAGGTTTATGACCGGCCACCACTAGGATGGCTGGGAGCAAGAACGACAGGAGCCCCGCCGGCCCGGGCCCTGGAAGAAGACCTTCCCAGCAGCCTGGCTGGGGGTGGGGAGATGCGCGGGGACACAGTTGGTAGGGTTGAAATAGTCCAGTTGGGGAGGCGGGTGGAGAACTCCCACCCCAGCCTGACCTGCCCTCTAAAAATAGGCTGCAATAAATGGGGCCAAGAGAGTTCCCCTCAGCTGTGGAGCGCTCCAGACACGGCTCACAACCCAGATTCTCCAAGGATTCCAGGCGCTTCTCCAGGCCCAGCGCCTCGCCGCTGGCCAGGACAGACTTGGCGACAGAGTTCCGGCTGGGATTTGGAGAAAGGGCATTGAATTTCCCTGTTAGCACTTGGACTACAGAGGATGGAGTCCTGGGAAACCAGACGCCTCTTCATTCTCTTGTTTTCTCTTCCTGCAGAGTGTGCCTTTTGCTTCTGCTCTCTGTCAACTGCCTCATAGATTAATAATTCAAGGAATCATGAGGCGAGTGAGAAAAGTTCCAGCCTGGAGAGGTGGAGAAAGCCAATTTTTCTGCAGAGTGGAAATGACCAGACTGGGGAAGAAATCTTACATGTGCCGTCTGGGCAAAGTGTTTAGGCTTCTGAGCCTCTGTTTCCTCAACTGTAAAGGGAGGCTCACCACCCACCTCTCCCCTGGCTAATTAATTCACCTTGCCCTTTCGTTTAATTTAGCAAACACACATTAGTGCTTCCTCCGTGCCTGTGCTTTGAGGCACAATTGGGAAGACACCGCCCTGTGTGTGATGTTATGACAGTCTGGAGAAAGCAGCCTGTCACTCAGCCCCACAAGAGGCTTCAAAGATGAAGGGACATTTAGGCTGGGGCCTTGAGGGGTGAGTGGGAGCCCACCTCCAAGGCAAGAAAGGAATGAAAACGTTTCATTTCTCTGTATCATCCTGAGCTTCAGTCCTGATCTACTTGCCTTGGCCCATTTCACACGCCCACCCACAACTTGACTTCACCCCCCTCCCGGTCTCCCACAGCCTTCCTGCTCTCCTTTGACCAGACCAGCGGCACCCACACCCCCAAAGGCTGGCCTTCGCCATCCCTCTCCCACAGACCTCCTCCTGCGACGCCTAGTCTGGCTCCAATCTCCAGCCCTCGTCACCCCTCCAGCAACACCCTCCATGGTGCTGGCTCACAGCTAGGATTTGGGTTTCAGCTTTTGACACGACTTCCCCCAGAAACTCACCCAGACCTGCCCGCCATCAAAGTCAGAAACTCCCCTTCCATGCTGTCCCGTTCCCCTGCCCCTGCTCTCCCATCACAGCCGAGAGCTGTGCTGTCCTTGCCGGGCAGAGCTGGGCCTGCATCCTTCTCTAGAGCATTCCCTGTGCCTACTATGGGCCTGGAACGCCGCGGTGCTCAGCTGAATAGATCAAGGGCAAATTAGGCCTGGGAGGCAACTCTGGCCCCCTGTCTGCTTTTTTAAATAAAGTTTTATTGGAACACAGTCACACTCACTCAATTCTGTACTGTCTGTGGATACTTTTGTGCCACAGCAAAGTTGAAAGAGACTTATGGCTTGCAAGCCTCAAGCGGCTCGCCATCATTTTCCCGGTGATGGGGCTCAGATGTGGCCATCGCTGCACATATCTGGCCTGGTTTCAGACACCTGTCACCGCACCAGAGGAATTTTAAGTCCAACCACAAAAAACTCCCTGGGACTTGGGTTGGCCAAGACCAGACCACGATGGTGAGATGAAAGCGGCCTTAATGTGAGCACAGCCTGGAACTCGAGAGCCTGAAGGGGCCATGGTGACCGGGTGCCGCTGCTCATTGTTCAGATGAGGAACCTGAGTCCCCAGGTCAGTGTGGGTACAGCCATGAACCGGGCACCTTTTCCTTAGCACCTCCTTCCCAGTGCTCTGGGAAAGGAAGACCCAGACGGAGGGAACCGTCATGGCTGGAGGTACACGGAGCGCTTAAATGCACAGTAAACGTTGGATGCAGTTGTTATTATGCCAGCAGGTGACAAATGGATGAATAACCCTCTAAGGGCCTGGGAAAGCGCCCCAAGGGGGCTGCGGACAACAGAACCACATGGCTGAGACCCAGGGGCAAGGAAGCGGAAACCCCATACCAGGATAGGGCCCCTCCACGGAGCGACCGAGTGATGACCAGTGATGCTCGGTGACTGACGAAGTGGACAAAACAGCCAGCAACAATCACTTCCTCCAAGAAGCCCTCCCAGCCTGGGTCCCCGGAGCACTTGCCTCCCCCACCGCCCCCCGGCACAGCAGATATTGGTTTGTTGCAGAAATGCAGGAACATGGGGGTGGTGGCCACAGACGAGAACACGCTCACTGCATCCCCCTCCAGACTGGCTGCTCCTGGGGGAACAACCCCCGCCCCATCCCTCTGCTGAGTCCAGCCAGGCTATACGGACTGCCCGTCCTGAAGCCCTGGAGACAGGGTCTCCAGGGCAAAAGGCCTATGG